GGCAAACATAACGGATGTCGAAGATTTTGGCGTTATGATTTTTTCAGCTTTTTTGGATTGCTTTCGAACAACTTTTATGCGGGGCGGTTTACCCGTAAAATTGATCTCGTCTCAATTGAGCACTGCTTCAAGAGACACATTTTCAAGAACATTAGACAAGTTTTCAAAATAAGAATTAATTGTTTTATGGTCAATTTTGGCTCGACTTTGCTTAATAGACTGAGCCAACCTTTTTGACAGTTCATTTTTATGCCCCAGGTCGGTTATTTACAAACTGCTTCAATTGAACGCTCTTCCTTTGAACGCTCTTCCTGTTCAAGTAGTTTTCAACTAAATATTTTATATCTGCGGGTTCAAATGGAAAACCCCATTCTGATGTTGTACAAATTGCACGAACAAAGCTTTTTCTTCATTTTCTGTCAACGTAGTAGTACGTCCAGGCTTCTGCGTGTGCAATTTGTTAATTTTCCTATGTAATGTTACGTAAGGTATACCATTCTCCTCACTTAGTTACATTAAATTACCAAGCTCATACCTTGCTACAGCCTCATTCAACGCCTCTTCATTGTAATTTCGATATGGCCTGCTCCCCACCTTCATTTTGTATGTTCGCACCATTATTTTCAAGCCCCTGAAATGATATTAAAAAATAAAATCGCCGCCACTGATTCTCAAATAAAAGACAGGATAGATTTGAGGTTATATTTGGATTAAGCGGTTAAAATTGCATCGGTGGTTGGCTAGGAGTTATCAGAGGCGCTAGTTAATGAAAAGTATTAAGATAATAAAAAAACCATATTTTTTTTACCTTATATTTGCAATGCCTCCCTCGGAAAACGTAAATCGCAATTTAGACACCCACTATGTAAACACGTCACCGAGAGTCTGCTTTAGCCACATGCTTTGATTACTATACGGTGCAAGAGAGAGGTCCGACACGCCCAACATAGGGCGCGGCCATTTTGATTCCTATGACACAGTTTATAGCTAAAGAATCAGATCGCTCACTCTGCGTCGGCACTTTTGATCTCAATGTTCCAGTTTATACACTGCGCAACTCGGATAATACAATATATGACAACCGCCTATAATAAAACAGCAGTCTTCTGCGTATCCTGAATTTGTATCCCTGGAGTGGATGTTATTTTGGAATTTTCAACTGGTCCGAGTGAGCTAACTGATTCTTTAGCAATAAACTGTGACTCCAAAAATAATATTCACTGAGACTGACAGCAGCAAGCAAAATATCAGGTGCGTTTTAATCATCCGCTTCTGCTTCCGGAATTGTCGGTTTAGTCGTTTTAACCTGTCATATTAAAACAAGAAAACCGACAATTCCGAAGCAGAAGCGGTTGATTAAAACGCACCTATTAAAAATATTGCGCCAAAATGTAGGCAACACGTAATAAGGGTTCAAAATGGCGGAGTTTTCTATCTCCTTTTAAAAGGCACTCAGAAAGCTGCGCAGTGCGACCATTCTCCGTATAGTAAAAGATAATCAAAGTATGTGGCTTTAGTCGACTGTCAACCGCTGGTGGTCCTAAATTAAACCGTTTGGCGGCAGCACCAGTATATGAAGCTTTGTTCACACGTTTTCAAATAACCCCGAAATTTTTAAGTAGCCCCGTTTTACGGTACTCTAAAACAAACCTCTAATTTCTTATAGTTATTTTCTCAAAAGTGAACATTAGTAAAGTGTCTATGTTTTGGGAGAATCTAACAGATATTGTTTATTGGCAAAAAGAATTTATCATCGACGATATTACGCTAGATGCATTCCGGATCAAAAAGGTTTTGAAAAATGATATTAAATGATTGGTATTATTAATTAAGTACGATTTCGACGGGGTTAGAACGTCTGTAAAATGTTATATTTTAATATGTTTAGATGGACATATTTGGACACTGCACCAAGAGAAAAAATTATCTAAATCAGACTAGGGCGTTACGATTAGATCCCACAATACTGAAAATTTTTAAATCGTCAGCATATAAAAGACAATGAAAATTTTCAAAACAGGACACTACGTCATTTATAAACAATAACATAGGGCCAATATGTGAACCCTGGGGTACACCCGAGGACATTGTCTCTTTCCACAGAATCACTCACGATTAATAAGGTAGAATTTAATCCATTTAAATTAATTGGTTAAACACCAATTTCAGATAGTAAAAAAAAGTGATTTGCCTAATTTACTACTGACAAATATTTTTCAAATAAATAGTTAAGTTTTGCACAGTAGAAGTTATAGAACTACGACAGATTTGCGGTGCCTGTAGAGATTGACTTCATTATTTGAGACAAATTTAGTTTTTTTTAGACTTTCCAGGTATCTTCTGGTCATCACCGACTCTATTTCTAGCCATGAACAAACTAGGGCTATGAAGTGAGGCGCAATATTTAAACAGTCGTGTTTTATATTTAGCTTATAAAAATAAATGTTCAGTAGCAAAATCGAAATTAAATCAAAGAAATAAATGGACAGCTGTATAATAAAAAGAAAAAAAACTTTATTTTTGTAATAATAACAGTAATACTGGAAATAATAGATATCGGAAAAGGTTTTAAATAAACAATAATTTATTATTTTATGATATTCTTCAACATTCCTTAAATCTTAAATGTTTAGCAAATGATTAGATTTCTGCCTTTGATTATTGTATATGGCTGAAATGCAATTTTGTGACTTATTGATAGGAAACCAGTTTTAATCATTAATTTCTATTGGTTCTTTCGAACTAAAAATTAAGAAAATATAAATTACAATCACAAATATACCAATTATTTTTGTTAATACGTTTTAATTTTACGTTATTATATAATGATAATGTTTTTATTTTGACATTATTTAACCTATTCTTCAATGCCAACTTATTAGGCTTAGGCAAGACCTCATACATTTTCTCGTAAATACCTGCCTATGTTTTATTATTGATTATACTACTAGCTGAAGTAATAAAAATATATAATAATAATAATAATTTTTTCACTTGTTTTACAAATCCATATACTTTTATTAAAATTAACATATATATTTTTTAATTACGAACTCTATTAAAAATTGTATTGTCAGTATGTGTAAATATCGTCCGTTAGTTCATAAAATAATTGACGCAGCTGTCACGCATAATAATGAATGAAAATAGGCTGACTGAAAAATAAATTATGTTTTGTTATCTATGTTTTTAGTAGAGAAAAAAGAAATTAAAAATTTTTCTTTTAGCTAGTGTTTTTTTTTTGTATTCAACATCGTGTTTGATTTTTAATGTTTTTGTTTTTTATATTATTATGTTTGTTTTTTAAAAATGTGTTTTAAATTTCTTGATTTTTCTTTATTTTAGTTTTGTCTTTTTTATTTGGTTATTTTATTTATTAAAGAGTTGTTATGACAACTTAAGTATGGTTAGGGTTACTACTAAAGTTCCACTCACCCTTATCTTCGCTATTCAGTAAGATATAGAAATAATTTTGTTATATTTGAAAGACTAGAACAAATACTTTCTTATGATGGATTCAATTGTTTTGTGACGTCATGACTTACTTCCGGTTTTTCCGGAAATAACAGAAAATCGATTTTTTTTTAATTTTAAAAGTAAACCCTCTTTTTTATTGTAAATTTAAATTTCTGGGATATTTTTGTATAATAATCGTGTATTGATAATTTTCTGTCAGCTGTCAAAATGGCCGCCATATTGGATACTATTTTTTCTAAATATGTTACTATTAATTCGTTTATGGAAAAACATATAGGAATGTAAGAACTTTATAAAATCTTTTTAGGCTTCAAAATTCCCATTGAGACCCATTTATCGTATATCAGTGGCGTATCTAAGCATTTTAATTATTAACAAACCGTTTAATAATCCCATCCGCTTTTATCTTCGTTGTTAATTGAGATATTATTTGTTTAAAAGCTTGAGACAAATACTCTCATATACTGGATTCAATTGGTGTGTGACTTCATGGCTTACTTCTGTTTTATCGGAAATAACAGAAAATCTCAATTTATTTTTAATTTTTAAATAGAATACCTTCGTTTTTATTGGAATTTTAGGGACATTTATGGATAAGAATCATGTGTTGAAAATTTTCTGTCAGCTGTCAAAATGACCATCATATTGGAAAATATGTTTTTTTAATATGTTACTGACAGAAAATTTTCAATACACGCTTCTTATACAAAAATGTCCCAGAAATTCAAATTTTCAATAAGAAAAAGGATTTTAATTTAAAAATTAAAAATAAATTGCGATTTTCTGTTATTTTTGGAAAAACCGGAAGTAAGCCATGACGTCAAAGAATAATTAAATCCATCATAAGAAAATTCTCTTCTATTTTTCATTTTCTTTGTTTTCCAACAAATAAACATTCTAAATTTTTTCAAAAAGTTTTGCCCCTCCCTATAGAATTGTGTAACGACGCCCATATTTCACTCTGTCCTTGTTTTAAACAATATTATAATTGGACTTACAGCCAGGAATATAGCAAGTACAAGGCATAATTATTAAAGTTATTATCTACCTTGTAACTGGTCAACAACGGGTCTCTAGACACTTTTTAACACTAATTATAATTAAATGATTAAAAGTCGGTTTGAAAACATCACGGGAAGATATCCAATGCAGACGTTACCCGAGAACTACAGGTGTAACATCAAAAACCATTTTATTCCGGTAAGATTACACAGTTTATCACAAAGAAAAATTCACAAACTTTGTGCTCTATGTTAATCCACATTTTTAACAACTAATTAAAGAAAAAACTTTTAATTTCACTTAATCTGAAAATTTTTCGAAAAAATCGCTGGAAAACCAATAGGTTACGCTTTAAAAGTAATATAACTTGGATAAAATGGATACGATCGTCGCGTTGCCAGATTTATCTTTACTAGGCTAGAAATAGAGTCGGCAATGTTCTGGTATACCTCAATGTTTTCATTTTAAGTTATTACGATGTTTGTATTTTGAATAAGTTATTAATTTTTGATATATTGTAGATGAAAATTTTATTAAATTTTTGGAAATTGTTCTTTCTCAATACGATCAAGATGCTGCTTTTTGCGAGAAACATGCTAAGCTGGCGTATTTCATAACAAAGGGATTAATTTTAAGGAATCATACCGAAGCTAATAAATGGTTAAATCTGGTAAGTTGAACATACAAAAAAAAAAGAAGAAGGTTATTAAAATATATTGTCATTTTTAGTTAGTAAAATTAATAGGTCGTTATCCGGCTTTTATAAAAGATGGTATAAAAATAATATTGGATGAAGATTATGTGGCTTTTAGTGAAACCTTCCATTGTCGAAAAGTGTAAGTTACAATTTGATATTCCAAATTTATGCCCTATTTCAATGACCAAATTCTTGAAAAAAAAAATTAAATTATAATTTTATTAAATAACTAGCTATTGCCCGCGGCTTTGCTCGCGACTTTGCTCGCATGTAGTCGTTTTAATATTATAAAAAAATACATGACTTCCTTTTTTATTAATTTTTATTAATTTTTATTAATTTTTATTAATTTTTATTAATTTTTATTAATTTTTATTAATTTTTATTAATTTTTATTAATTTTTATTGATTTTTATTAATTTTTATTAATTTTTATTAATTATTATTAATTTTTATTAATTTTTATTAATTTTTATTAAGTTTTATTAATTTTTAATAATTTTTATTATTTTTTATTAATTTTTATTAATTTTTATTAATTTTTATTAATTTTTATTAATTTTAATTAATTTTTATTAATTTTTATTCATTTTTATTGATTTTTATTAATTTTTATTATTTTTTATTAATTTTTATTAATTTTTATTAATTTTTGTTATTTTTTATTAATTTTCACCCCCGTTTTCCCCCCTTAAAATGTGAAAATCCGAAAACCATGAAACACGTTATTATTAATTTGTACTCATAAGCTGCAATTCCAATTTTCATGTTTCTAACTTCAAAGAAAACAAAAAAGTTATACTCTTATACAAACTTTTACCCCCGTTTGACCCCCCTCAAGATGTAAAAATATAAAAACCCTAAAACACATTATTATTAATTTGTACTCAGTAGCTGCAATTCCAATTTTCATGTTTTTAACTTTAAAGAGAACCAAAAACATGGATACTCCCAAATAAATTTTCACCCCCCCCCCCCATTTCCCCCCTTAAAATGTAAAAATTCAAAAACCCTGAAACACGTCATTAATAATTTGTAGTCAGTAGCTGCAATTCCAATTTTCATGTTTCCAACTTCATAGAGAACAAAAAAATCGATAGTCCCTTTCAAACTTTCACCCCCCGTTTTCCCTTCTTAAAATGTAAAAAATCCAAAAACCCTGAAACACGTCATTATTTATTTTTGCCCAGCAGTTTTAATTTAAATTTTCATGTTTCTAACTTTAAAGAACAAAGAGTTTCATTAAAAGCTCCCTCCCCCCATTTCCTCCAATTTCCCCCCTTTAAAGTTAAAATTTCCAAAAATCCTTTCTTAGCGGATGCTTACGTTATAAAATAAACCTATGTTCCAAATTTCAGCTTTCTAGGCCTGGTAGTTTTGGCTGTACGCTGATAGGTCAGTCAGTCAATCAGTCAGTCAGTCAGGACAAACAATTTTATATATATAGAAGATAAATTATAGTTCAGGAAATTTTACAATAAAATTGTAAATTTAAGACAATAAAAAAATGTATATTTTTTTTTAGTGTGCTTTATAAACAACGAACTTTTAATATCATGGTAGACAAAATAATTGATGAATATAATAAAGTTGATAATGAAGAGGGTAAAAAGTTTCTTCTAAGTGGATTAGCCTATTTATGTGAATATGTCTCGTTACAAGCCATTTTATTTAAATTTAAAAAGGTAAGAAATCGTTTGGGACGTAATTTTTACAACGATACATATTTTTATATTTTTTCTTTCTAGATTGCACCATATTTAATGCTGTGTTTAGAACAAAATGATACACCAGACGCGTTATGTGCTGTTTCAACGCTTTTAAGAAAAGTTTGCACCCAAGATAGCGACTATTTGAAACCATATTTTAATGAATTCATTACTAGGATATTGAATCTAACTACTTACAAATTAATGGTAAGTTTAAATAAATATAGGGACCTATGCAGGGTGTCCGATAAGTACGGTACATAACTACAGGAGCGTATTCTGGAGCTAAAATAAAGGTATTTTTTCATAAACACTATGTCTCAAAAATGCTTCATTACGGAAAGTTTCATAAAAAAATACATTTTTTAAATATTTCCAAAACCACTTAAGATATTTTAATCAAACTAATCGCTGAAAAATATGGAAGCAAAAACGTGTTACGCCACTGTTCTGTTTTTAATGTTCAATTTGGAAGAAAAGCAACAAAGATAGTAAATTTTTTCATTCTTTTTTTATTACTTTCCTATCTGTATACAGATATAAGGAAAGTATAGGAATCATGATTTTTTTCGACCTCGAGTTTTCGACGGATTTTTACGTTTTGAGGTCCCCTGAATCCGTTTTGACTATTTTCGCGATGATGTCTCTGTGTGTGTGTGTGTGTGTGTCTGTGTGTGTGTGTGTCTGTGTGTGTGTGTGTCTGTGTGTGTGTGTGTGTGTCTGTATAACGCATAACTCATGAACCGATACACGGAAAAACACCAAATTTCAAACTTAAGCTTTATTCCAGCGTCTAATGAGCTGATTAGATTTTGGGCAGAGTCGGAACATCTGGGGGGGTACTTTATAGGTGGTATTTTTTATATTTTATGGAATATATCTGTTATTTAAGTTTGGAGAAGAAAATTCTTCAAATAAAAGTTACTTCTAATATAATTATCTATAATTTTTGTTCTATACAAAATTTTCCTAAAATGGTCCGTATTCGAGAAATTTGACAAAATGTAAAAAAAATTATTTTTTTATAAAAATTGTTCAAACAAAAGTTGTTTGTTATATAATTCTCTATAATTTTTGTCCCATAGATAATTTCTCTAAAATTGACCGTATTCGAGATATTTGAGAAAATGTGTAAATTTCGAAATTTGAAGAAAACTCAAAAACGGATAAAGAAAAAATCAATAAATTTTAAACTTAAGTTTTATTTCGGCCTGACGTGAAATGATTAGATTTTGGACAAAGTCGGAACATCTGGGGGGGTACTTTATGGGAGGCCGTTTTTATATTTTATGGAATATATCTGTTATTTATGTTTGGAGAAGAAAATTGTTCAAATAAAAGTTACTTCTAATATTATTATCTTTAATTTTTACTTTATGTAAAAATTTCCTGAAATGGTCCGTATTCGAGAAATTTGACAAAATGTTCAAAATTCTGATTTTTATGAAAATTGTTGAAATAAAAGTTGTTTGCGATATCGATCTCTATAATATTTGTTCATACATGATTTTTTTTAAATGGACCGTAATGGAAAAATTGTAGGAAAAGTGCTAAATTTAAATTTTTCAGTATTTTCATTTTCAATGAATATCTATAGAAAAATGTTTCGCGGTAGATGCATGTGGACAATGTATATATTTAGTTTATCCTCTAAACATTTATAGAGATGCTGCAATAGGTTGTACACAATAAACGGAAAAAGCCTGTAATAACTAGATAGGAAAGTCATGTGTTGGACACATCAGATTTTTTTTAATTTCTTTGAACAATGTACAACAAAAAAGTTATCTTCAATTTTTCACTTGTTTGATATTTTACTAGTTGCCAATTGTTTATTTATTTGTATGTCAGACATTAAAATGAATAAATTTACTAACGCTAAAATGGCTCAAATGCACTTCATTTATGGCTTAGCAAATGGGAATTCAGCGGAAGTTAGAAGAATTTATCAGCAACTTTATCCGAATAGGGTAACGCCATGTGCTAAAACATTTAGAAAGATACATGCCAGATTGAGTGAAACCGGTAGTTTTAAGCATAATCGGGTAGTTCCTGGTAGACCACGAACAGTAACAACGCCTGAGCTAGAAGAAGCTATACTACAGGAGATGGAAGAAAATCCTTCAACAAGTACCAGGAAGATTGCACAACAACTTCAAGTAAGTGCAAATACTGTTTGGAGAGTTTTGAAAGTTTCTCTGCTTTACCCATACCACATACAACGAGTACAAGCTCTGCTGCCCCGCGACTTTCAGCCAAGGCTAAATTTTAGTAGGTTGCTCATATCTTCAATTTTTTGACCCTAATTTTATTTACTGATGAGGCAACTTTTTCGCGAGAAGCAATTATTAATTTTCCTAATGAACATTTATGGGCTGAGGAGAATGCTCATACAATAAGAGAAGGTCGCTTTCAGCAATCATTTTCACTAAATGTATGGATAGGGATTATTGATGACCATCTTATTGGACCATACTTTTTACCCCCTCGACTGAATGGTGATTCGTATACTCAGTTTTTACCAGGGTTCGGAGGATATATATCAAGTGATATACAGGGTGAGTCGGGAGGAGCGCACCAAACTCTAGGAGTATATTATACACGTGAAAATAATGTAAAAAAGCTCATATGTTCTTATCCGATTTTCATTTGTTTTCAAGTTATGGCGTAATTGAAAATGTTCATCTAGCTTTCCACTTCTGAATTTTAACATTATCAAAGTATGCCATATGTTCAAGGCTTAAAGGCATTTGATAATTCTGACGTTTTGATGAACTGTCAGTGTACAGTGAACAATAACTGAACGTTTAATTTCGAATTTATGTGATTGTTAGTGTTGCAAAATGCCAGATGCTTATTCAAATTTAGAATATGCAAATATGGTGTTTGTTTATGGTTTCTGTAATGGAAATGCTACAGCTGCTGCTGAAGAATATCGTCAACGTTTTCCACACCAAAAAAATCCTGATAAAAACGTGTTTATTAGAGTTTTCAACAAATTGTGCGAGACTGGTAAGCTTCCCAGTGCTTTCATAACATCTGAATGCGCTATTCGACAAGGTTTTGTAGAAGTAGAAAATATTCTGCATCTAGTAGAAGAAGATGCAACTACTAGCTCACGGAAAATTGCCACTCAATTGGGAATTCCACAAAAAAGAGTGATAAACACACTCCACGAGCAAGGCTTACATCCTTATCACGTACAGAGAGTACAGAACCTACAAACACAGGATTACGCTAACCGTATGGAGTTTTGTCGGTGGATAAATAATCATCGTGTTGTATCGAGTATACTCTTTACGGATGAAGCTACATTTACCCGTGATGACATTAATAATACTCGTAACTATCATGTATGGTCAGACGAAAATCCCCACGCAATATTCAACATCGGTTTTCTGTAAACGTGTGGTGTGGTATGATTGACAGTTATTTAATTGGCCCTTTCATTTTGGAGAATCGTCTCACAGGAGACAACTACCTCAATTTTTTACAAAATGAATTAAAAGGCCTGCTAGAGGATGTTCCTGTAAATATTAGAATGCAGATGTACTATCAGCCCGATGGAGCTCCTGCACATGTCGCTCGTCAGGTCAAGCAACATTTGGATGAACGTTTTCCAGGGCGTTGGATTGGTCGTGTAGGTCCTATTAATTGGCCTGCAAGATCTCCAGACCTCACACCATTAGATTTTTGTTTATGGGGCTGGATGAAAAATGAAGTCTACAAAATAAAAGTGGACACACGGGATGCACTAATTAGACGAATTGATAATACTGCAGCCCATATTAAAGAAGAAAGAAATGAATCAATTAGGAGAGCAACAAACGCTCTTCGTAGACGAAGCAGAAAATGTTTAGAAGTCAATGGCGGTATTTTTGAACATTTATTGAAAGAACGCTATGATTAAGATAATTTTTGTGTGTAAATTTGTTTATTTGTTAATATGCTATAACTTGAAAACAAATGAAAATAGGATAAGGACATGAGTTTTTTTACATTATTTTCACGTGTATAATATACTCCCAGAGTTTGGTGCGCTCCTCCCGACTCACCCTGTATATCATGATATATATCACATGATATTTATACCTTGATATATACCCGATATATTCGATAATTTTATTTATTAAATTATAGTATATTATGCAACGATCATGTAATGATGGTTATTAATACACGAGCATTAACCGGGATACGAAACGAGCCAAAGGCGAGTTTCGTATGGTTTATGCGAGTGTTTTAATAACCATTACATGAGAGTTGCATACGCTATTTTTTCTACACCCGATAAATAATCAAGACCTATAAATATTCTATTTATATTGGTATTGAACACAATAACAGTAATTACTCGTATTTCTATAAAAAATTCTACAAAATTGTAATTAATGGTATTACCTTGGGTACTGGTATTACCACAGATTTTTGGGGCAAAATATTTTGTACTGCATTTTCTCCTTTCTCCTATATGTGTGGAGGAGTGTTCTATATCGCTGATATCAGACATTTTAATATTATAATTATCGAAGTTTAGCTATCTACGAAAATTTAATACGTTTTGACAACTAAAACAATTACATAGGAATTTAGGACAAACGTCAAACATCATGCTTGATTGAAAAATTGTAGGTTTCTATTGATTAAAAATCTGTATCATAATGAAAAATCTGTATCATAATGGGTATCATTATGAAACGGATTATGGGCATATAAGTGCATTATTATAATACGGGTGTAGAAAAAAAATGTTTTCCACCATTCTGCACATCTGAAAATGTCTCAATACGCCCCTGTACAAAAGTATAATAACTATTAGCGATTCAAGCTAAGTAATACGCCCTCTGGAGGAAATTAGTAGAAGGTCCCTATAAGTAGGATGACGTTCAGTGTTGCCAGAAGCAGCAAAATTTCGTTACGTCGTCGGATTTTAGTTCTTGAAGAAATGGATAAGACCTTTTATTTAAGAATCAAAATTTGTGTCTAGTAATATGTAATCATACTTTTATTTAAGGATTTTTTTATAAAATCGATTTATTATATTGATTTTTTTTTTAAATTTCAGATCATTTATTAATTTTAGTTTTAAAATCAGTCAGAGACAAAATCAGTTCATCATTTGGCAACATCGGCGTTCGTGTTCATTGTTTACATTTTAATTTGTATCAATTACAATTAGAGTTTTTTATTACTTTTTAGCTTTAAAT